TAGTCGCCTCTTCCGACAAGCATGGTCGCTTTTTACAACAAGCAGGGGTTGCCGAAGACCTATTCTACGCGATCAAAGAGGTTACAAGGAACTGACCGGGTAGGAACGTCATCTGGGGGATGACTCCACGCCATGCAACTCATAGATCGACAATAAAGTGTCAATCCCATTCTTTTGAACCAAGTGGATACCCCACCCTGTGGTGTTTGTGAGTGAGTGAGTGAGTGAGTTGGGTTTAATGCCGCTTTTAACAGTATTCCAGTTATATCGCGGCGTGTCAGCTTAATGTGGGAGGAAAGCCCGAAGTGATGCAGGTCTCAGACGTTGACCACTTTGGTGAAACCCACGAGCACGGGTATGGTGCTGACAAACCTAGAAACATAATTAGGGCGAACCGGGATTCGAACCCACAATCATAGGTTTCTGGCGTGCCCAAGGGACGCAACTCTGCACAGCGAATCGCTGCGCCTTAGACGACTTGGCCACCCGTGCCCCCTGTGGTGTATGTGAGGGCGTGCGTGTTCTGTATGTCTCAAATAGTATTGATCAGTTAATAGATCGGAATCATGAGGGCATAATTAACTCAGTGTAGTAGAGTAAAAACATTCCTGCTTTTATATCTGCTCTGAATAGTCTTGCGCGAAAATATTTACCATGTGTGTTTTTTCGTTTATCTGCAGAAAATGCCTTTTTATGTTTAAATCGAATGTTTCGACAAATATTAGGCGATTTGTTATTAGTCTGGTGAGTAGGGAGATATTTTACTAAAGTTAATTGATAGTTAAATATAGCTATTTGTGCCTGTCACAAAATAACATGCTAATTTGACTGTATGACCGCTGAATCAGAAGAGAACATCAAGTGTCGGTGTGTCCTTCTAACTTAACCTGTGAATATAGCAACACGAAACATTTTTGCGTTTCATAGTGACAGAAAGATTCGTTTCATTACAAGTGGCGTTTTGACATATATGAAGATTTATTAACCCGCTACACACTGCAGGTATATGTACATAGATTAAAGCCGCATTAAAGTGAGTGAGGATATACGCCGCCTTTAGCAATATCACCAGAAATGGACTTAATGCATGTTAGCCATGTAGGGAATCGAACCCGGGCCTTAGGCGCGACGAGCGAAAGCTTCAACCAGTCGGCTACCTCACCGTCCCCACTAAGGTAAATTAGACTTCGGATATTACGAATTTCAGCAGATCGTTTAAATCAGTCCGATATTTTTGTTATGACCTTAACGCTGACTTCGTTGCAGCTGTTGGTTGTATTCACGTCTCAGATGGAGCAGAAAATGTCGACTCCGTGGAGGATAGATAGATGCTTGGTAGTTCAGCATCAGTAGGTCAGCTTTGTGGACGAGGGCATTTAATGCAAGGCTGGTTCGGAATTGACGCGAGGAGCATCGTATCTATTAACAGACTGTTACCTATCATACCCAGTTGACGTTGTTGATAATATCAATCACTGGTTTGTCTGGTCCAATGTGAATAATTTACAGACCACCTTCATATAGGTGGAATATTGCTGATCGCGTCGTTAAACAACAAACGAAAACAACTACATGTTGATCCAGTGAGATAAGGCAGAAACACTTTGCGCATAGTTGCGTTCCTTAGCTGTGCCAGGATCCGGTGTATGACCTGCATGACCCCGGCTCCCCAGTCAAGCTTACCCGTCATGATGTAACTTTGTGTACTGTGCACGCGGCGTTAAACCACTCACTCACTCCACCCGTGAAAAACCAGGTAAGAATAGGTCTTCAGCAGCCCATGCTAGTCATAAGAGGCGACTAACGGGATCGGGTGGCCAGGCTCGCTGACTTGGCTTATGCATGTCATCATATCCCATTTCCGTGGATCGATGCTCATGTTGTCAATCACTTGATTGTCTGGTCCATTTATTTACAGACCTCTCTCATATAGCTGGATTATTGCTGAGTGCGGCGTTAAACAACATGCAAACAAACACTCACTCATTCCACATACGGCAGTGAACTACAATTTAAGAAGCTTTATCTGTTTTTACCTGACCATTGTGAGAAACACACCCAATTGAGATATACCAGTGACCTCTTCACTTTTGCTTTTGAAAATGTAAAATTGAAATTTCTCGTCTGTAAATAGAAGCATTATGTTTTTGTAGTCGAAGCATGACACAGTATTAGGGCTTAGATATGGTAAATAAAGTGATCTGTCAATGAGCTCCTTGATACGACCCTTGGGTGATAGAGATATACCTAGCGCCCGCTCCCGTCCCTTAGACGTCATTGAACACGCAGCAGGAGACGGGGATAATTGGATCATAGAGGACGGAATACCTCGTTTCAAGTAGTTCGACCGTACTAAAGGACACTGAACGTTTAAAAATTGCAAGACGTTTAAACGCTTTTCGACAGATTCGCATTGTGCCTTTAAAATGCGCACTTGAGTGCTAGTGCTACCGTAGAGAAAGGTACATGTCTAGAATATGCATTACAAACTTTGGGTCTCGTCACCACCTCTCCACGAGACTAATTTGGATGAGGTCGCTAGCTGCCCCCACACGTGCACAAGTTGTGCATTCTGTGTGTACTCTCAGCAGTCAGTGTTTAACTTGAGATAAGCCAAACAATAGTGCAAAGGAGAGCCGGGAAATATGGGAGTATTGTCGTTGAATTTACGACAAGCGGAAGAAATGTTTTCTATGTCATAAACTGTAGTGTAGAATTTTGCTGAGCGAACACCCTTACTCTGGGTCACACTACTTGTACGCCTCTTTCGGCGATGCCAACCTTCCATTGATGGTAAGTGAATTCTTCGTTAATCACTGCTCCTCAAGGAACTTGTGTGTGTGAATGTTATATCGTTTAGCGCTGTAGCCCTCAGTGTCACTCGGTATATGCGAGGGTGGCCATTGTCACGACGATTGTCGATATGTACCATGTGGTTATTCAATTGTGCGTTGCAACCTGAACATATAGTACCAAGGCGTTGAATTTGTATTTTTATCGTTGTTATGAATTTTCAACGAAACTTGTTATAATGTCGCGTGATGTCATAAATTTTGAGGGACATGTATTGTAATGTCTGTGGAAGCTTGCATTCATAATAGTGAGGATGATGTGGTAATAGGCGTATTAGTTGTAAGGACTTACTTCAGTGGAGCAGGTTGTCCTGCTCGGTGGCATGGTTGATTGCGTGTCATCGTACCCCGGCAACGCGCGGCGTTGATCATAAAATAAACCAGAACCGGGTTAGAATTGGTCTTCAGCAACTCATGCTTGTATGAGGCGACTAACGGGATCGGGAGGTCAGACTCGCTGACTTTGTTGATGCATGTCATCGTATCCCAATTGCGTGGATCAATGCTCATGACATCAATCACTGGATTGTCTGTTCCAGACGCGATTATTTACAGACCGCCGTCATATAGCTGGAATATTGTTGAGTGTGGCGTCAATCAACAAACAAACATAAAAATCCCACTAGTTTGTCTGGAACCAGACTGACTTCTATTCATAGCTGGAATATTGCTGAGTGTGACGTTAAACAACAAGCAAACAAACATTAAAAAAACACTAGTTTGTCTGGAGGTGAGGTGAAATGGGGTTTAACGTCGCGTCCAAGATTATTGCACTTATATAGCGACGTGCATGTACGTGTACTAGTCCGGACTGATGCCGATTTATAGTGCTAGCTCACTGAGATACCATGCCGCAGTTTAACACGAATACCCCACTCAAACACAGTATACTGACTCCGAGCCGACCAGTCCTTGTTTAAGCCCCTTAATGCCGAGCTCCAGACAGGGTAACAACAAGTACCATCTTTTAACGTCGGGGATCGAACCCCGGACCTTCCGCTCTCCGGGCGGACGCTCTACCACTAGACCACGGAGGTGGTCACAGTTTGTCTGGAACCAGACTGACTTATATTCAGGTTTACCTGTTATAGCAGGAATATTGCTGACTGCGGCGTACAAAAACAGCAAAAAAAACAACAGTAACAGCATGATTGCATTAGTCTGAGCAGGGTTGGTGGCAGTGGTGACAACAACAAGCCCAGTGTTGATGTCCTGGCAGCGGTTTGTTTACGTAAGCATGGTGTAATGTAGGGCACGTGGTAGCAGTAAAATGTCGGTGGGAATGAGTGCTGTGTTGTCAGCAGTGAGAGTAGTAGTAGTAGTAGTAGTAGTAGTAGTAACAGTGTTTGTAGTAGTTGCAGTGATAGTAGTAGTAGTTGTAGGGGCAACAACAGCAGCCGCAGTAGTAGTAGTAGTAGTAGTAGTAGTAGTAACAGTGTTTGTGGTAGTTGCAGTGATAGTAGTAGTAGTTGTAGGGGCAACAACAGCAGCCGCAGTAGTAGTAGTAGTAGTAGTAGTAGTAGAAGTAGTAGTAGTTGTAGTAGTAATAGTAATAGTAGAAGTAGTAGTAGTAGTAGAAGTAGTAGTGTTTGTAGTAGTTGCAGTGGTGATAGTAGTAGTAGTTGTAGGGGCAGCAACAGCAGCCACAGTAGTAGTAGTAGTATTTTTAGTATCAAAAGTAGTAGTAGTAGTAGTAGTCGTCGTCGTCGTCGTCGTCGTCGTCGTCGTAGTAGTAGTAGTAGTAGTAGTAGTAGTAGTAGTAGTAGTAGTAATAGTGTTTGTAGTATTTGCATTTATAGTAGTAGTAGTTGTAGGGACAGCAACAGCAACAGCAGCCGCAGTAGCAGTAGTAGTATTTTTAGTATCAAAAGTAGTAGCAATATCAAAAGTACTAGTGCTATCAGTGACACAGTAACACACTTTCATTTATATCAATAGCGGCAGCAATGTTCTTGTTATGATCATGAGAGCAAACAACAATATAAGTGATAAGAGAACCGCCAGCAATATAAATGATGTGAGAACCACCAGCAATATAAGTGATATCCTGAGAACCACCAGAAATATAAGTGGTACGTGAACCACCAGTAATATAAGTGATACGTGAACCAGCAGCAATATAAGTGATACGTGAACCAGCAGCAATATAAGTGATGCGTGAACCACCAGCAATATAAGTGATGCGTGAACCACCAGTAATATAAGTGATATCCTGGGAACCACCAGTAATGTAAGTGATATCCTGAGAACCACCAGCAATATAAGTGATATGTGAACAACCAGCAATATAAGTGATATCCTGAGAACCCAAGTAATTTAAGTGGTACTTGAACCACCAGTAATATAAGTGATATTCTGGGAACCACCAGCAATATAAGTGATATCCCGAGAACCACAAGTAATTTAAGTGGTACGTGAACCACCAGTAATGTAAGTGATATCCTGGGAGCAGAAACAGCAGCAATAGTGACAGCATGATGCTGGTAGCAGAAGCAGCAACATTAGTGACAGCATGATACTGGTAGCAGGAGCAGCAACAATAGTAACAATATGATACGGGTAGCAGAGACAGCAACAATAATGAAGCATGATATTGGTAGCAGAAGCAGCAATAATAGTGAAGCATGATACTGGTAGCAGAAACAGCAACAATAGTGACAGCATGATACTGGTAGCAGAAGCAGCAGCAGTAGTGACAGCTTGATGCTGGTAGCAGAAGCAGCAACAATAGTGACACAATAGCATGATGCTGGTAGCAGAAGCAGCAACAATAGTGACAGCATAGCATGATGCTGGTAGCAGAAGCAGCAACAATAGTGACAGCATGATGCTGGTAGCAAAAGCAGCAACAGTAGTGACAGCATAGCATAATGCTGGTAGCAGAAGCAGCAACAATAGCGACAGCTTGATGCTGGTAGCAGAAACAGCAACAATAGTGACAGCATGATACTGGTATAGCAGAAACAGCAACAATAGTGATAGCAAAGCATGATACTGGTAGCAGAAGCATGATGCTGGTAGCAGAAGCAGCAACAATAGTGATAGCATAGCATGATGCTGGGAGCAGAAGCAGCAACAATAGTGACAGCATGATGCTGGTGGCAGAAGCAGCAACAATAGTGATAGCATGATACTGGTATAGCAGAAACAGCAACAATAGTGATAGCATGATACTGGTAGCAGAAGCAGCAACAATAGTGATAGCATGATGCTGGTAGCAGAAGCAGCAACAACAGTGACAGCATGATACTGGTATAGCAGAAACAGCAACAATAGTGATAGCATGATACTGGTAGCAGAAGCAGCAACAATAGTGATAGCATGATGCTGGTAGCAGAAGCAGCAACAGTAGTGACAGCATGATGCTGGTAGCAGAAGCAGCAACAATAGTGATAGCATGATGCTGGTAGCAGAAGCAGCAACAATAGTGATAGCATGATACTGGTAGCAGAAGCAACAACAATAGTGACAGCATGATGCTGGTAGCAGAAGCTGCAACAATAGTGATAGCATGATGCTGGTAGCAGAAGCAGCAACAATAGTGACAGCATAGCATGATGCTGGTAGCAGAAGCAGCAACAATAGTGACAGCAAAGCGTGATGCTGGTAGCAGAAACAGCAGCAATAGTGACAGCATGATACTGGTAGCAGAAGCCGCAACAATAGTGACAGCATGATGCTGGTAGCAGAAGCAGCAACAATAGTGACAGATTGATGCTGGTAGCAGAAGCAACAACAATAGAGACAGCATGATGCTGGTAGCAGAAGCAGCAACAATAGTGACAGCATGATACTGGCAGCAGAAACAGCAGCAATAGTGACAGCTTGATGCTGGTAGCAGAAGCAGCAACAATAGTGACAGCATGATGCTGGTAGCAGAAGCAGCAACAATAGTGACAGATTGATGCTGGAAGCAGAAGCAACAACAATAGAGACAGCATAGTACTGGTAGCAGAAGCAGCAACAATAGTGACAGCATGATGCTGGCAGCAGAAGCAGAAACAATACCGACAGCTTGATGCTGGTAGCAGAAACAGCAAAAATAGTGACAGCATGATACTGGTATAGCAGAAACAGCAACAATAGTGATAGCATGGTACTGGTAGCAGAAGCAGCAACAATAGTGACAGCATAGCATGATACTGGTAGCAGAAGCATGATGCTGGTAGCAGAAGCAGCAACAATAGTGATAGCATAGCATGATGCTGGTAGCAGAAGCAGCAACAATAGTGACAATATGATGCTGGTAGCAGAAGCAGCAACAATAGTGATAGCATGATACTGGTATAGCAGAAACAGCAACAATAGTGACAGCATGATACTGGTAGCAGAAGCAGCAACAATAGTGACAGCATGATGCTGGTAGCAGAAGCAGCAACAACAGTGACAGCATGATACTGGTATAGCAGAAACAGCAACAATAGTGATAGCATGATACTGGTAGCAGAAGCAGCAACAATAGTGATAGCATGATGCTGGTAGCAGAAGCAGCAACAGTAGTGACAGCAAAGCATGATGCTGGTAGAAGAAACAGCAACAATAGTGACAGCATGATACTGGTATAGCAGAAACAGCAACAATAGTGACAGCATAGCTTGATGCTGGTAGCAGAAGCAGCAGCAATAGTGACAGCATGATACTGGTATAGCAGAAACAGCAGCAATAGTGACAGCATAGCATGATGCTGGTAGCAGAAGCAGCAACAATAGTGACAGCTTGATGCTGGTAGCAGAAGCAGCAACAATAGTGACAGATTGATGCTGGTAGCAGAAGCAACAACAATAGAGACAGCATGATGCTGGTAGTAGAAGCAGCAACAATAGTGACAGATTGATGCTGGTAGCAGAAGCAACAACAATAGAGACAGCATGATGCTGGTAGCAGAAGCAGCAACAATAGTGACAGCATGATGCTGGTAGCAGAAGCAACAACAATAGTGAC